AAAAATTTGAAAATCCTCACCTAATAATCTTAGCTTACACACACCATATAAGCGTTATTATACTCAATGCCTTATTGGATGTGTACCTAGCCTGTGGGGAAAGGAAAGTAGCTCATTTGTAGTTCCTAGGGGTAGGGCAAGCTGAAGAAGTATACTTTGAAACACTTAACAGGTACAAAGTTAGAAACCCAAACTAGGGGCTGAGATCTGTATTTTTGTGCCTTTTTCATTACTTCTTACATGTGTATGGGTTGTCTGTTTGAATTATTGGAAAAAAAAAAAACCCACCCAAAACAAACAAACCCACACCCAAACCTTTTCCAGAGTAAAATGGATGTCAGATTCTGATATCCGAAATGCACACCTTTAAATCATACGAAGAGAGGTGGTGATCTGGATTTACTATGGTGGGAATGCAGTGATTTTAGAACAACTGAATATTGTTGTTATTTAACAACAATTTGTAATAACAAAACATTGATTGCCTGTGGTCCTTGCAAGTCTGATGTACAATAGGAAGCTGAATTTGTAATTGCAGGGGAGATTGTGGTAAGCCTTTTTGTTCCCCTTGCATCACTGTGACCTGGCAAAGGACACACTTCAGTATAATCATAAGCACATGCACTTGTTGGCTTCACTGACATGGGTACAGTTAGTTATTCATTATTCAATAAATTATCCAGCAAGCATTTAAAATGCAAACTAGGTAGCATGCAAACCAGCAATAGTTTTGTGGTGGTGTAGCAGCTGAAGAGAGCCTTCTACAATCCTTTCTTTTTATAAGACATGCTGTTCAGATTTAATACAGTTGTCAACAGTAATTATTGATTCCTTTGTTTTGTTGAACTATATATAAACCCATGCCCTCAGTTCTATTTACATAATTAATGACACAAGATGCTTAAATGGCTTGTGTTAGATGGTGTTGACATCCTTTCAGGCAATACCCACCATAACTGGAGGTGCACGGTGGGAAACGGTGTAGCTGTGCTAGTAGAGTGTTACACCAGTCCTGTCTGTCAGTGCACGTGTCTTAGCACACCACTGTTCATGCAGCTATATAGCTTCAAGTAGCCTCTGGTGGTACTGAACAAAGAACAAATGCACAATTTTTATTAAACTTGGGTATTAGTTGTGTTTTGGGATCTGGCTTGTGTGAGTGGTAACTGTGCAAGGACTGCAACTATCATTACAAACAGCATGAAACCTGAAAAAATTCTGACAGTTTGCCTCTACTTAACATGTCTTAGAATTAGGTTTAACAAGACTGAGAAACATGTATCTTGCTTAGAGCAACTGTATATTAAGGGTTTGTTGAAGCAAGGATTTTAAAGAATTTATTTAAAGTATTGCTGGCATCAACAATGTATTCATTGAGGTATTACAAAGCACTTAAAAAAGCCCCAAACACCATTTGCTAAGAGCAGACTTAATACCTTCTTTATCCTGTGCCAAATAGAGATACTTGAAAGAATTGTTTTCAGTTATTTTGCTGAAAAATGGGAATTTTCAAGAGTTAGTCCAAATCTTCTGTTCTACAACTGCAAGTACAATGAAAAGGTGCAGTTGTATAACTCTGAACATCATGTGTGACTAGTATCCGTTATCTATAATAACGGAAAGGGTTAGTTTTCTGACTGACTTTCAGAGAACATTAACAGTTTTTCATCTTTTTTTTAATAGCTGGAATAATTTTACTGGTACAGAAACTTTTCATTGAGGTATTTTCACTGACATTAATCAAGCTAAATAATTTGCTTTGTTGAACTTTTTCTTAACTCAAGATGATACTTGAAATTGAAGTGGAAAACAAATTACTGTGTTGCTGTTTTAATTAAATTACTAATTTGTGCATAAACTCGAAGCGCTACCTTTGGCAGGTCTGTGGTGAAACAGGGTAATGAAACCTGACAGGCTTAGGAATTTGTTTCTTCATGTGCAAAAGGAAAGTTGCCAGATTTTTTCTTTCAGTATTGGCAGACATGAAGCTTTTGGTATTGTGTTTATGCTTGCAGAGTATTACTTATTATGAAAAGCAGTTGAGCAACCTTTGTGTAGTTCTTGCAAGCTATCTGACTTAGGTGTTAAATAATTCAAACAGTTCTGTAGAAGAATCTGCTTTTCCAAAACTGTTACTGGTTTGCCCTGTTCGTTGCAAAATTTAACAGGGAAAATGTTTCATGGTCTGACTTTAAGATGATTGATAGAAAGATCTGCTTTTGAAGTAAGTACACTGTTAACATATTTTAAAACCACCTCTTCAGTATGTAGGCTATTTTCTACTTCATACCTTGTGCCTGCTAGTCCCAGGAAGTACCAAGTTGAAAATCTATTGTAACAGGCGAATTTTCTCCCTATAGTTCATGCTTTGGTTTTCCTTTTAAAAATTGCAACAGAACTTTTTTGTTCCTTGGTTCGTATAAACCACTTCTACAGAAATAAAAATATTTTTTGGTGGAGTTAGTGAAACTTGCATGATATTTCTTTGAAGGTTTTTATTACACAATTTTGGATCGGAGATGGTTTGGACTCCTTTTGCTGTGTGACAGTGGGGCTTTAAACAGCAGAGCTATATTCTCTCTGCTTAGATCAAGCTCTTCTACCAGTATAATTTTTAGCCTAAGACAAGTATACCCACCTTCTTTCTGCCTATGTTTCTGTGGGGGAGAAGAGCAAGATTATTTTTTTGTTTTAACCTAACTTCTCAGATGAAAGGCAAATTGTATACTGTGTTGTATATAAGTTAATGGCAGGATTGAGAATTGGAGTTGAGACATGTGGGCGGTTAATTCAAACTTCCTTAAGAAATGAGAGATTTGAAGCAATTTTAGTGAATACCTATTTGCAAGTAAAGTTCCTGTCTTTGCTGTAGACAAAGCTATGACAATTAAGATGATTGTATTTCATAGTCTGAATGCATTTATGTACAGAAGGCTTTTAACAGTAGAAATGGTTGTGTGTCTCTATAAAAAAAAGCTCTCATTAATAGAATTCTTGTAATTACTGCTTTTCTTATTTCCCATATTTTGGATAGTAGAGCATAGCTGGATCATTTCACTCTGTTCTGCTGTTACACTAACACAGATGGTGGTTTTTCAAAAGTGTAGAAACTGTTTCTTAACATTAGGATAAATAAATGCCCTGAAATGATAATCATTCTGTTTTTCTATTATTTTTTTTCCAATTTGCATGTGAATACTTGAAAATTGCCATTAAAATTGTAGGCCATAGTACAAATCAGTTTAACTCTTTAGCTGCTGTACTGGCTAAGAACCTTACTAGGGTTTGAATGGGATAAATTTTAGTAAGTGAAGTATAAGCATCGTATGTCCTGAATAGTTCTAGAATTGGTGAATAAGGGTGCTAGATGCTTTTAAGGACATGGAGAAGGAGAACAAATGTTATGATGATAACGAATACTTTTATCACAATGTGGTGTGCAAATGCAAGCTGTTCAAAGGGATTTTTGTTAAGGAGAATGAAGGTCAATGATCCTTCCATTTATTTAGTCTAGCTGAATAGTGGCAACCTGTTTTGCGAGATAAAAATAAAATTGACCATATCCTTTATATTTCTATCAGTAAAGCCTGTCTAGTTTCTTAAAACTTACTCCATTTTATTGTCTCATATCAACAACTTTACAGACATAACAGTCTTGAAAAAAATTTGACTTACATGCCAAGTCAACAATGTGTAGCTGGCTTTCAGGATGTAGAATGCACTTTTTTTCCCCACCATACCTAAATTATTAGTTTTTTTTTAAAAGCTTTGCATAAGGACCAAGTTCAGTCCTTTTTTTCAAAGTTACAATCCAGTCTTGATTCTAACAGCATCAGCAGGGGCACTTAGTTTTTACCAAGGGCAGACACCGGGAAAATGTGTAGTTAGAGGAAATAAAGATCTCTTTCCTCTTCACTTTCATCCCAGTCCTTGCTATACAATTGTATGTGAAGTAGTGCAAGTGTGTTCACACTATGCTTTTGCACTTTTATGTGAGTTTTAAGTGTCCCAGTCTGTACCATGTTCTCTTGGTTTTCTATTTCCCCCTGTTTGATTTATCACTGTTATGAGGGATGATGTTCAGAAAGAACTGAAGCAAAACTCTTGATACAGATATATACTAAAATCAACAGGTTCACAACCTACAAATGCTATGATACTGTAGGACATTTATAACCTGAAATATTCTTGTAGTTGAGGTGGTGATCTTTTGTGTTTAGGTATTGTTTGATCATATTGTTTGATCATAGTATGTCTTACTTGTTGATTGCCAGCCTAGATTTGTTGTGGGTTGTTTTTTGTTTTTTTAATAGAAGAAAAATTTTTCTGTGTAACAAGGACTTCATGGTTTTATCTTACATTTACATTTAGCATGCATTCAGAATATGGTTGGAGTTTTGAGATGATGGATAAAAGTACCATACAGGTATAAAAGAAATTATAACAGTCAAATACCCTTTCTAAATCTAAGCAGTTTGCAAATATGTATTTGCAGGAATTAAGAATGACAGTGCTGACAAACTTCATAAACCAGCCACTATTCCAGCACTTCTGCTAAAGTACTTTACAGAAGCTAAGCATCACAGCTTGGAAACCAGATGTGTATCGTTCCTTTTAATAGAGAGAAAAACTGATGTGGAGGGGTTGGTTCACTCCATGGCTCTAGGGCATCTGTGCCAGTTGGAGGGAGAGCAAGCTTGTACTTTAGAGTCAAGGTGAATAGGGAGGAAACAGACATACCCTGCCTGTTGTTTTACTGTTCCCTTGGGTTTACCTGCTGCTGGAGGTGTTGCACAAATTGGAACGTTTGTGGTGTGATGCTGCCAAATTGGAAGGCTCACAGACTATATTGTGGTTATCAAATCCCCATGATGTTCCTAATGTGACCCATAGTGGTGCAAACCCTTACTGTTATAAGCTGATACTGAAATTATTTAAAAAAAAACTCATTAGTTTTGCTTCTTATTCCTCCTTTTCTGTTTACTGTATTTTATTTATAGGTGTTGATTTTAAAATCAAAACAGTAGAGCTAAGAGGAAAGAAAATTAGATTACAAATCTGGTAAGTAAAACAAATGTGCAACCAGCAGTATGTTTTAATTTTTATGTTCTAGCATGAATTAATATGCTTGTCTAATACTATTAACTGTAATAAGCTGGTTTAGCTCTTACCCTGTTCCTCCTCTCTGCCATTCCCATAAGACTTAAGCAAAACCAAATAGTTCTTAGAATTTTATGAGGGGAAAGGGGAATAAGGGGAGATAAAGAGGTCTCAAGCTCCTTTTCCTAAAAGAATGACATCATCTACATAAGAAACAGAATTAGGAGCTCTACAAACAACAAAAGGTGACTGTGTTAAATAGGCGCTATTTAAAAGTACACTTCGCTGCTGCTGTTGTATTTTATTTTTTTTATTTTCTGGACTGTTTAAAACTGACTTTAATTGTAACAACAATTCTAAAACAACTGTACAGTGTTTTCTAAATTGTTTTTGTAAAACTTGGTATGGGTAGTGCTGTCTCTTTGGAGCTCTATTAAAGAACTTTAAAGTGAAGGGCATTCAAGACTAAGTAAATTATATCCACTCAAAACAGCACTGAGAAGTAAAATGATCCCATAGAAATAAGACTACACCGTAACTGGTACTGAAGTCTTATGACAGAATGCTCAAAGTCTGAGCTAAGTTTTCCTTTCTGGAGTACTTTATGTGTTTTCTGATAATGATTCTCCATGTGAATGATAAATACAGTTTTTATAGTTCAGAAATTATTGAGCTTAAGAGCTCCTTTGTCATGCAAAGTAATACGGTAGATAAACATTTTTATGAGAGAATAAGCCAGCTATGTTCTATACATTAATCTTACATATTGCTGTGTAGAAGCTTAGCTTTGGTTTATTAACAGTGTGTGGTGCATAATTGGCATTGTAGTTAAACTGTTAAACTCACTAACAGTTCATAGCGGGAGGAAGCTCTAAATATACTCATTGTTACACTTTTGGGATATTCTGGTGGTTTCTCATTAACTACATGGATGCAGTAAATTCAGCTTACTAACTCCTCTTGGCAGGTCACCATCAACTCTGTCACACCATGTGTCTGTCTTGCTTCCCTCTGAGTTAACTGCTGCTTCATCTTTGGTATCATCAGTCATCTAATACTTGAATGTTAGTGGCATGTCTTCATCCATCATCTGTCCCTGTTTGGAAACCTGTGACCACAAGCCTGGCAGTTGAGCCAGCAATTGTTAGCCAGGGTCTACTGAAGCTAACAGAGGTAACAAAAAAAATCCGATATGAAGATGCTACTGTATGCCTGATATGAATTCTTGCTATGAAATGTGCTAAGCTTATCAAACAATTTCTTCATGTTGAATAAATATAGGAGTATGTCTTGTTGGAAAAGATACATTTAAACCATTATTTTCCACATATTGAGAATATGCTAGTAGGATATAGAAAACTTTTAAAACTGAAAATTTATAGGTTGCTAAAATGTGACCATTACTCCTGTGTGAAGCCCTGCTAAAATGATTAAGAAAATCGAATATAAAAAGGTAGTATTTTAGAATATGATTAAATCCATTAATAAAACATTCTGCCAGTGTCACTTTCTTTCCAACAGTGGCTGTTAAAAATGCCTGTTAAAATGCCCTTCTTATCCTTAAAACTGTCTTGGCATACTTACTTTTTGGAAAAGCAATTAGATAAGCACTACTTTTGCTAATTTATCTTGAATTATGTTGTGCATGTTGTTGGGATGATTTATGAACTCTTACTATTATAGAATCACAGAATCATTTAGGTTGAAAAAGACCAAGTCCAACTGTAAACCCAAAACTACCAAGGCTACCATTAAACGCACAACATCTATGTCTTCTGAATACCTGCAGGGATGGTGATTTGACCACTTCCTGTTCCAAGGCTTGGCAACTGTCTCAGGGCAAATTTTTCCAGATATGTAATCTAAACCTCGCTGGTGCAGCTTGAGGCCATTTCCTCTTGTCCTATTGCTTGTTACTTGAGAGAAGCGACCAAAAGACACCTGGCCACAGCCTCCTTGTAGGAAGTTGTAGAGAGGAAATAGGTCACCTCTCAGTCTCCTTGTTCGCCATGCTAACCAGTCCCAGTTCCCTCAGCTCCTTATTGTACTTTCAATTGTTAGATTGAAAGAGGAAAGCAATTTATCAGGTAAAACACTTACACCAAGTCAGACATGTATCAAGCAGTTAGGTGTGCAAGGTATCCTTTTGAAAGCAGCTTTCACACCTGCTGCTGTTAATAGAGTAGTATACAAATTGGTCTTGTCTCCTGTATCCCTTTGCTGATGGAATACTGTGTGCTAAGGATCACAGTGGCATCTGCTTTCACCTCTAGCTTACCTATTCCTATCTGGTCCCTGAGTTTCAGTCAGGAAACATTATGATAGGAACATAATCCTGCTCCTTAGAGTATGAAATGGTAGAACAGCACTGAGAGCACAGAGTAGTGTCCATATTTCCTATGCCACCTGGAACAGTAGTAGTGTGCCTTGGGCTGCCAGAAGTTGTAAATAGAGTAAATTTGCTTTCACATTACAGTTTGTGCCTGAAACAAGCTCATATATTCTGTAAGAAATTTGCATGCATGCAGCTCAGGCTGTGGGTTAAAGTAATGACAACTATTGGATAGCTTAAGTGTCCAAGTGAGTAGGAGCATCTGTGAATCAGCCAGTGTTTTTCCAGAGCTTGCTAGGCCAAATAATAGGAACCCCCTTTCATGCTTTGAAGAATAGGTGTGCTGGCAGTTGCTCAGCAGGACAGTAGGGTATCTGACTGTGCCCCTAACCTGGGTCTTTTGGGCACTTGGCTGAAAGAAGCAGCTGTCACTTCTGGCTTCCCCTAGGAAAGGATGTGGTTGCTGGAAGCTGTGGTTCCCTACCATGACACCCAGTTCCATGCTGGGGTGCCAAAGGGGCTCTCTGGTACCTCTGCAGGTTTAATGCCAAGGAAGCCAGTGACCTGGCAAGGAAAGAGTTTTGGTTTGCTTCTGAAGGTTGTTTAAATTGGTTCCTTCTCATAAAATGTTCACATTCTGACAGCTTGGCATTTTCTAATGGACAGTTACTGTTTTGGAAAATCTCTGGGGTGAGGAGTAGTTTGAGGAAAAGATCAGCTATCCTGAAATAAAACAGAATGTAGTTCCTTCTGTTCAGGTCCTCTGAAATAAATAATTTCATATAGAAAAAAAGATCTTAACTGTAATTTTGTTTTATGGGAGGAAAAAAGCTCAGCTTGACAACTAGAATCAACCTCTAAAATAACTTTAAAACATAAAAAAAAAAATACTGCTTGTAGGGTCCATAAAAGTACAGAAAATGGAAGTGTTAAAGGAGTCTTTAATGTTTATCTGTGTTTTAAAAAATTTCCTTTCTGTTGCCACTTCACACCACCAGTCATAAAAAACTGATTTAACTTCAGAGCCAAAGAGAGTTTTGAGTCTGCCCTTGTGTTTCTGTTTGTTCCAGTTTTGAGTCTGTCCATGTGTTCGTTTAGAGAGAGCATTTATGTAAAGCAAAAATTATCCAGACCTATTTTAATTAAGATCAACTGTATTTGTATTGTACTTTATGCAGTCTAAAATAGTGTGAATATGACATGTCAACACTTGAAAATGGTCTTTGTGTGTTTTCTTTATTTGCTTTTGTTTGGTGTAATGTTTGTATTTTTTGGAGTGGTGTCTAGTTTCTGTTTTGGAAGCAGGAAAACAGTCATGCAGTGGGATTTTATTATGGCAGATGATAGATAGTCAAGGAGTCATACACTGCTTCTGATTACAATTTAGAAATACCAGTGTTTTTACATTAGAACAATTTATTTAAAAAATTAATAAAAGAAAACTGCTTTTAGCATTAAAAAGGGGGTATCTGTTGTCTGGGGTTTTTTTTTTGGTGATGACAGAAGCATTATCAAGTTGTAATATTTTATTATTTGGACTTCTTGAGTTTGAATTAAATTGAACTTCCTTATTCTGTTGATTTTGACCAGAGCAAATAAAGAACTAGCAGCCCTTAGTATCACTTATGAAATTAATGAAGTTGCATACTGTTAAATAGTGCTCAACTCTTTTTCCAGCATTTAACTGGTGCTTCAATAGCTATTCTTACTAAAACACTCCAGCAGCAGGAGTGTAATACATCAATGAAAATGATGTAACTTAGTTGCTCCAGCACTGCACATGGAAAGATGGCATTTTAAGTCGGATATGTTTTTAATAATAGCTCTGTATTAGGGATTGTAATTTTTCCCTCAATATTAGAAGAATTTACTGCACATTTTCATGAAAAAATGAGATAGCAATTACTAGCAGATGAGATTTGCCACATAAAGGATCAACTTGATACTCTTCTCAAACAGCAACTTATTTAGGTAGCTTGGGGTTGCATTCCAAAATTATTGCAGAAATAGTTTTCCAATTTTAACTTTACTATTTGAAGGCTAGTACAATGTTATATAATGTTAGAGACCACAAATTCATCTTAGTTTCTTCCACTTTTTGAAGGAAAGGATTATCATTCTTACAGTGAGAAACCTGTTGACTGGTTTCATTTAAACTTGCTGCATCAATAGAGGCATTGGTTGCGTGAAGTGTGGGGAAGTCAATGACTTAAAGTAAGGCCAAGAAAGTCAGCCATAATTCACTGTAATTAGCCAGGCTGTCTGTCCATGGGTGTTTTAAACTGGCCGCAGTATGTGGTGTGTCTCAAATAGCCAGCAAGCCAGCGTACGAGTTTTGTGTGATATTTGTGTGAACAGCTTACATAAGGGGAGTGCAGTACCTGGGGGTACAGCAGCTGGGAAGAGCAACAGCCTGGGAATACTATAAACTTAAAGAGCCTGAGGGTGCTGTGGAGTGAGGAAAGGCTGATAGTACCAGGTAGACTTGGATATACAGCACTCAGCAAGCATTGGGAAGCGTGAAGTTTGAGATAGCTGGAGTGGAAGAGAGTAATGTTACACAATTGGCTCTGTGGCTTACCCCTAGGCTTATCCTATCATCCTGATGATGACTGTCTTCAGGGAGGGTAGTTGGACATTGGTGTGTTTGTTTCCTCTCTTTTTCTAATGTATTAACTGAGTGATCTGATAGTCTCTCAGAGATGGAGTCGCTATAAGTTCTTAGCAGTGACCCAAAGGCACAGCCAGGTGACTCTGAAATAGCCCCTTTAGTTCTGTGTTCTGGTAGGGGCACAGAGAAAACGAGGAAGATTGGTTGGGGCTGGGGGTGGGGAGGAAGGAACATTTTTCTTCTCCCATCAGTCTGGGCAAAGCTGGAATTGATGCATTCTTCCACATTAGATGTGCCCTTCCACCTGCCATCTAGTTATGTCTATGCAGAATGATGGAGCTAAAGGGATCTCATCCTTAATATGCTTGATCAGTAGGATGAATTAGCAAGACATGGCAGGGGCTGCTCTACAAGATCTTTATTCTGAGTAGTATGTTCGTAAGTACTAAAGCAATGTTATCCATATGTGGAAAATCAACGGTTCATACTAGAATTTTTAAATATTTAATGGAATGAATATCCAAAGCACCTTTCAAAAATTAAATCTGACCATAGTGAAGAAGTGATGGAAGAGCAAGTAGAGTTACTAACTCTTGAGTAATACTTACGTATGTAATTTCAGCTGCCAGAACTTGCATTGCTTTAATAAAAATGCCTCATTAGTGATAAGAAAGCAACCAGTTAACCACCTAAAGTTGGTCTGACCTTACAGAAACAGGCTGCCTGTTTTCACCTTCTGTAGAGTCCCACAAATTTGTATAAATGTAACTCAGAAATTCTGAGTAGAGAATGGGATTTGAATAAAATAGAAATGGATGTGATATATTCTCTTCTGCCCTTTACTGCAATGCCATTGGCTTGCAGTGAAGTATTAGTCAATATTTTTCCGCAGACTATGAAACAAAGGTTCAACACTGCTTTACTTTGTGAAATCACTAGCAAAATTTTGTTGCTATCGAGTACACTTGTGGCAATTTCAGAAGAAAGTATTCCACTTATAAACCTGCTTAGTTGACATTCGTAAAGACTTTTTGAAGATCAAGATAGGTTTGTGGTACTTTATTCTACTGCTTGTTGAGCATAGGCTTTAAAAGAACTAATTCTTCGGGACAATCAGTGTGGCATGTTGTGAACATTACTTTTTTTTTTTGGTAACAAGTGTTTCAGGTCTCCATTGTTAATCTCATTCCCAAATTCATCCTCCTTCTCCTTTTGTCTAAAATGTGACTGCTGAAGAGAGTTCCTTTTAAGCTTCTGAGTTGAGTGCCAACAAACATGAACTTTTTCCCTCATCCACTCTTAATTTTAGTCCGTCTTTTGTCTTGCTCTAACAGTGAAATTTCAAAATTATCCATTGACTCTGGAGGCTGAACTCAAGCAGCAAATGCTTGATCTCTTTGGGGCACCATATAACTTACTTTCCAGTTGTGATACCAGTCACATTTTAAGACTTAGGATTATGCACCAGCTACTTCTTTTAGTATAACTGCCAAAAGTCTTCCATAAGTAGGCTTGATGATATGATTAAAAGCAGTTCACTGGCTTTCATGATTCAGTAAAATAAAGCCCTTCTGTCTCATCTACTTTGGAACATAAGCCATAGCTAGTACAGGCAACATGGTGACCTTGCTGAAAAATAGCCTCCAGGGTAGATACACCTTGTCCGAAATGCCTACATTGATAAAAATGATAATGGAAATATTTGAACACCTGCATTAGTAGATGCATGCATGAAAGCCAGGCATCTACTTTCAAAAAACATATGACATAGTGGTTGCTCACCCTTTTCATTCAGTTTTGCCAGTAGCATTAGTTTTAGAACCATGGTTGAATTGCTGTGGTTGATCCAGAAAGGCTCTGAAAGCTCGAATCATAGTGATCAGTGCATTGCTCGTTTTATAGTTGGGTGTCTGGCTGTGTTTGATAAGCATGTATCCATTTTTTTTTCTTTTTTTTTTTTTTTTGACAGAGCTATTAAAACAGAACAAACAAAAAACCCCAAACAAACATAAAGACCTCACAGACAAACCCCAACAGCACAGAACCAGCTTCATCTGCTGGGTACCTCCATTCTCAGACACATGTAGAACTGTTTGGTGGCCTTTCTTGGTGAAGTTACTATGGTATAAGTAGTCCAGATGTAAAACTTTCTGTGATTGAAAGTGCTGCTCCATTAATTTTTTCCCTGAAATTCCCACGTATAGGAGGAAATCTTGGAGATAGAGTGTCTAATGAGTGTGGGGATGTTTTTATTAAAATGTAAAGTTATTCTGTACTTTGCGAATTGGTGAAATATTTGTGCCAATGTTTGCTGCTGCTTCTTAGGGACACAGCAGGTCAAGAGAGATTCAACAGCATTACCTCAGCTTATTACAGAAGTGCCAAGGGAATTATTTTGGTGTATGATATCACCAAGAAGGAAACATTTGATGATTTACCAAAATGGATGAAAATGATTGATAAGGTAGGCCTTAAGTATTTTCTTTTTATGTAGTTTTTGTAAGAAGCCATTTTTTCCTCAAAAGTACTCTGTAAGACTTGTAACAGCATTGATACAGGATTGTTAAACTAATGCTGACTCATTTTCAGCAGATTCTTTTAGCCAGGAGTTAACATTAATGCATTGATGTTGCAAAATGGTTGTCCATTCCCACTTCCTTAACTACAATTGTCCCAGTTGTAAGTCTCAGTGGAAATACGTAACATTACTCATTTACCTGTTCACTGGGGGCGAGTTTTATTTCCTGTCTGTGAAATAAGGTCATTCTGTTCATTCTTAGGTAAACTAGAACAGCTAGTTCTAAAGTCTTGTTTTAAAAGTGAAATTTAAAAATTGAAGATTTCTAAAATATCTTTTGGAAAGAACGTGTACATATAAACTGTATAGGTGTGGCTCCTTATTTAGTAGGGAAGTTGCCCTTTTTTCATATTGTGTTTACATTACAAAATCTTTACATTTCTAGATTTAGTGCATTAAAAATGTTCTAATTGCAGTATGCTTCAGAAGATGCAGAGCTTCTGTTAGTTGGCAATAAACTGGACTGTGAAGTTGATCGAGAGATTACTCGACAGCAGGGAGAAAAGGTAAGAACAGGTTTAACCAAATTCTTAGTTACTATTAGAAGCAAAACTGCTGTGGAGTTGTTGCTGATGGTCTATAGCTAGTCTTACCCAGACTGTTAAGCCTGAGAAGCATATTGAGAGTGGTGGTGTTCTGTCAAAATCCATATGGTATTTACTTCTATGGAACATGCAGATATACGTGTTACTACTGGAGCAGCATGTCTTTAGATCAAAGAAAGTAAACTACAGGTTGGCTTGCACTGCACAATAGTTCAGGGGATACTCCTTTTTGGGCTCTGAAAGATTATATAGTGGAGACTTGACTCACAAATGGTCAGCACATCTTTGTGAGCCTTCTTCCAAACATTTGCTTTTCAGTAGTATCTTAGGACAGGCAACAGTCCTGCTTGATTATTTAGCTCACCTTTTCATGTTTCTTTTGTTCTCTTTCAACTCCCAAAGTGGTAAGGAACCTGACGAGAGGATATGTCTTAGTGTGACCCTCATAGCACCATCTTCATCAGGACACGATCAGTATGGACATACTCAAAATGTTTTCCTTCAGCTACCTGTCATCTGTTGGAGTCAAGGCTAATTCTTACATCTGTATTTCTCTTTTCTGAATTTTAATGAGGTTGAGATTAACTCTTTGAAAAGCTCCTACTTTTTGGCAATCTGCAGTAATCCATGTTAACTGAAGACATGAGTTTCTCAGACTTAAGTCTGGAAAAATGCAGCACACTGTTCCAGTAAACAGACTTTAAGTGAAAATTATCTATATGTGGCAATATTTGCTGTACCTTGGAGATTCAGAATTATTAATTGAGTTAGACTTCAGTCACAGATTTGAGGAAGGTTGTGGGTTTTGTTTTCCTTAAAGGTTTTATGAGGAGTACTTGTTCTGCTGTTTGTTGCTGTTTGTGCATATCTTCATGTAGTTGTTTTCTTTTCCATCAGTTTGCACAGCAGATAACTGGGATGCGGTTCTGTGAAGCAAGTGCCAAGGATAATTTTAATGTGGATGAAATATTTCTAAAACTTGTTGATGACATTCTTAAAAAGGTAAATTATATAGAGGTGCTAGCACCTCTGACCACAAAAATGGTCAGTGTTTAAGTAGTGATTGCTTATACTTGTTGGGAGGACATAGAGGGTGAGTGCAGAGCCAGGTGAAATTTCTGGTTAATACATAGTGGGCATGATGTAGTTCACAGACTCTGATGAACACTTTTGTTAATAAATACTGGTGTCAAATTTGGTAAACATCTATTTGCTATACTTCCTCTTTGCTATAACTTCCATATATATCAGCAGCTGACTGTATGTTTGCCTGCTTTCATTTGTGGGCAGTTCTGTTGTGATTTGTTGTAATTAGTTTAGGAAGTGGCTTTATTTTCACCAATGTCTTGTAACTTTTTTCTGAAAGAAATTATTAACACAACTTACTCGAATGTATTTCACTCATACAAACCAAAACATCCTTCAATTAAGGCTTTGGCTGAAAATGAACTCTTAAAACGAGTTCTTTGTGCCGAGTTCTTTGCAGATGTCTGTTTACAGGTGATTTTTCTTTTCTTTAAGATGCCACTGGATGTTATAAGAAATGAGTTGTCCAACAGTATCCTGTCCCTGCAACCAGAGCCAGAAATCCCACCAGAACTGCCTCCTCCAAGGCCACATGTCCGTTGCTGTTGACTTGTTACTCCATACAGAGTGAAAAATAGGAGCAGGAGGGTAAAGAAAGTATCTGTACTACTCTGCACTACAATCATTCGGCAGTTTCTCGTTGCACTTTGTTATTCGAGTCAGAGCTACACACTAACTTGTAAATATGCAAATATGTGATCCGATATAGGATTCAGCTATAACATTTAATTATTACCCCTCTCCCTCACAATGATGTTTCATTCATTGCCCCAGTGTTATAAATACTGTACAGTAGGTGGGGGGTTTACCACACTTCTGGTCGAGGAGGAGGAGAAATTAAATCTATACCTATTCTTGACATAAATGTTGTAATAGTTCTTTGTTATTATAAACAGGCAGGCAGAAGCTCTTCTGGTATGAAGATAAGTATATGGTGCTTTGCTAACTATTTTAAAGACAAATTTTTTAAAAACAGAGGACTTTATGTACAAAGCTTCCATAATCAGCATTATTTTTCCTTTTAATGTAGTGAAAACACTTTTGGCTGTAGCATCCTCTGCTGACTGGATTTATTGAAAAGCTAAATTTAATTTTTTGGCAGTCTTTTATTTATTTTGTTTAATGCTGCACCCTTTCTTTGTGTACCAAAACATCACATCTGGTGCAGATCTAAGATTGCACTCTGAGATAGCATATATAATTTTCTGCGTAAGCATAAACTTGGTTGCAAGAATCATTAAGTTTCAATAAAAGAATGGAGATATATTGAAGTTCTAAAAGAAGGTATAAAAAGCAATGCTGCTGTCCTAGACAAATTCTTAAAAAAGAAAAAAAAAAGATACATTTTCCTGTGGTAAGGAATATATATGTGTATTTGTCTGGACATCTGTAGGGTTGGGGGGAAGGGAATCTAAGGTAAAATTATTTTCTTTCCTAATGATGGAAATTATTCCCATCAAGCAAATACTGTGTTAGGTTTTGGTCTGATAATGAATTTGTGAATTATATCTTTGGTATATCTTTTATTAAAATGCACTGTTTAGTTTAGCTGTGGTAAATCAATAGTTACATATTTGAATAACTTGGTGTGTCCTGAATGTTGTGGTATTGAAAAACGTTGTGGTCTTTCTAAACTAATGAAGTGCAAATAAAATTTTGTATTTATGAATGACAGTGGAACTGCACCTATTATTAGAATGGCAAGTATCAAATGATGGGTAAAAGGTAGAATCTGGACTATGGAATGACACTTGTTTTAATTTTGTTATGATTTAATTTTCAGTTTGACAGTTCCTTTAGGAGTAGTTAGAAAAGCAGCAGATGTTAGTTGTTCACCTTGATCACTGTTCTGTTGGGAGAGCAGCTGATGACCTAGCCCAGCTGATACCTTCAAACAGCATGTGACTGCTTGTCATGCTATCTTAGCAGGTGGTCACCAAACTATTAATTACACTGGCAACACAAGTATGAACCAGTCTTTTTCACACTACAGCTTCTCTGCTTCTCATTCTCTGGTGCTGGAACCCATTTTGTCACTTTGCCACTCTTCTAGCCAGAACACTGGGTTTGACCAGTAACGTATACCACTGACCTAAACAGCTTCTCTGTTTTCTAGAAGGAAAAAAGACACAGCAAACTGTTAACATTTTAATAAATAAATAAAAGATGAGCCCTTATTTCACTGAGTAAGCTCTGACATTCTGAATGCAATACCATGCAGGTCCTTAGCACACCTGGATTTCAACAGGCAAAGTAAAGAAGCATGGTTTATATTTGTGCTTATGTGTTCTGCCACCTTGTGCCTAAATGGTTTGCTTTTTTACATAGTAAACTTTCGGTTTACTGTCATATTGGTAAGATGAAATCAATTTCTAAAGTGCTTACAGGATTTCTGATGGTACTGTAGGCAGTAGCAAGGAGGGGAAAATTATGGAAATGAGTTTTAATTTGACAACTATTTTATTTTAGCCAATTTGTTTTTATTTGTACTTAGAAACTTGTGATTTTTTTTCCTGCAGTTTTGAATTTAATAAAAGTTAAGAAATTTTACTTAGATAAACTTTCTTTTTGTAATTCTGTGCTGTTTGTATATAGGCAGATTGGGATCCCAGTCTCTTGTACCAAAAAATTAAAAATTACTGCATTTGAGAAAGACATATTTATGTAAGAGTGTTTGAATGTGTTTGATTATTCATTAGATATCATAAAACATTCAGGAAAACTGTTTGCTTTGCATCCATTGTACTATGAGACCAAAGAGGGGTTTCTCTCCTGATTTTATCTCTGCAACTTTTATATCGGTCAAACAAAGTTCATTTATGTCCTTGTTCTACCTAGTAGGCATTTGCAGTGTGCCATGGAAAGATGGGTGGGGAAAAAGGTTATTCTTGTTGCTCTGTTGCCTCATCTGGAAGTTCAGCAGCCAGCCTAACCCTTGTGGACATCTAATGATGGACCATTTGAGAGATCACAGGATGAAGGGAAAATGACCATGAGCTGCAGCTTTAAGTCTGTTTAAACTCTGTATTATCAGATGGCTGTTCTGGTTAAGGGTAGCCCATTCCCAGTCTTCAGGGGGTGTGTGGGGATTGTTTTCTTTTAATACCAAGCCCAATCTGCTTTATCACCAAATTCATCAGATGCTGCCAAGGTCCTCTATCCCTGGCACTTTCTTCATGCTGACAAAAATAGGAGTGTCTCTTGATAAGCAAGCATGGCAAGCAGAAATCACAGGAGTGTCAGAAATTGGGTAGTAACATCTGCCCCAAAGTAGTAGTGGTTTCTTGGTTTTCATGAATTAATGGTAGGTACGTCATGGTCGTTGAGCAGTAGTTTGCCACTGATTTCAGCGTGGTTAGGTTTTATACTACTAAGTTCCTGCAGTTGCACAATTTCAGTGATAGATCAGTGTGTCTTGTACCAAAACCAAAGTTAATGTGTATCAAAAGCCTCATACAGTATTTGATTGTGTCCATAAAGTTTTAGATCTACCTGTAATGGACATCCAACCAGTGGTTAACAGACTGCTTCTTCATAGGTGAGTAGAAGGAAAGCAGGAAGACAAGAAATTTCTCTTTTGTGTAATAGTGAGTCTTGATACAGGAAAAACTTAAAACTCCTGGCTTACCAGGACATCTTGAATTACTGGTGCTGTGAGCTAGAGGACTAGTGACAGTCACATCTTCCTTCCACCAGATGTTCTGCTGCTTCAGAGCAGAAATACACAGCTAATGTCAACATTTGGTACTTCTGATGAAGGAGGATAAGAATGGGGGGGGGTGGGGGGGTGGGGGGGGGAAAGGCTGGAAGTTCAAAGCCAGGATACAGGAACTTGCTAAAGCAAATTGAGGGATGTGTGCCCTTGCTGGAGATTTCAGCATTCCCCCATTTATAGAATCATAGAATTGGTTAGGTTGGGAAAGACCTTTAGGGTGGCCAACTCCAAACATTAACCTAACACTGCCAAGTCCACCACTAAACCACATCCCTAAGCTCCGCGTCTGCGCATCTTTGAAATACGTTTAGGGATGGTAATTCCATCACTTGCCTGCGCAGCTGTTCCAATGGTTGACGACTCTCCAGGTGAAGAAATTTTTCCAAATATCCAATCTAAATTTCCCCTGGCACAACTTGAGGCCATTTCCTCCTGTCCTCCCTGTCCTATCTCTTGTTACTTCGGAGAAGACACACACCAACACCCAGTTCACTATAACCTCCTTTCAGTAGTTGTAGGGAGCTGTAAGTTTTCCCCTGAGCCTCCTCCTGACTAAACAACCCGTTTCCTCAGCTGCTCCTCATTAAGAGTTGTGGTCTAGACCCTTCACCAATTTTGTTGCCTTTGGACGCACTCCTGCACCTCAATGTCTCTCTTGTAGTGAAGGGTCCAGAAGTGAACACAGGATTTGAGATGTGGCCTCACCAGTGCTGAGTACAGGGAGATGATCACTGCCCTGGCCCTGCTGGCGACACTGTTTCTGATACAGGCCAGGATGCTGTTGGCCACCTTGGCTGCCTGGGCACAAGCTGGTTCATATTCATCTGGCTGTTGACCAACATTTCCAAGCCCTTTTCTGCCAGGCAGCTTTCCAGCCACTCTTCCCAAGCCTGTAGCATTGCATGGGGTTGTTGTGACGCAAGTGCAGGACCTGGCACTGAGCCTTGGTGAACCTCATGCAGTTAGCCTCAAGGCTCAATCCAGCCTGTGCAGATCTCTCTGCAGAGCCTTCCTACCCTCAAGCAGATCAACGCTCCTGCCCAACTTGGTGTTGTCTGCAGACTTTGTGAGGATGCACTCAGTCTCCTCACCCAGATAAAGATAAAGATAGTCAACAGAACTGGGCCGTGGGGAACACCACTTGTGACAGGGACAACTGCATTGAGCTCCATTCACCACCACTCTTTGAGCTTGGACATCCAGCCAGTTTTTTACCCAGCAAGCAGTAGAGCCATCCAAGCCATGAGAGCAGTCAGTTTCTCCAGGAGGATGCTGTGGGAAACAGTGTCAGGCTCCACTGAAAAAGTCTCGGTGGACAACAGCCACAGCCCTTCCCTCATCCACTACGGGAGTTACCTAGTCATAGAAGGAGGTTAGTCAAGCAGGACCTGCCTTTCACAAACCTGTGTTGACTGAACCTTATCACCGTACTGTCCTGTATATGCTGTGTCATGGCACTCAAGACATTCTGCTCCATAACCTTCCCCAGAACTGAGGTCAGACTGACAGGCCTGTAGTTCCCCGGATCCTCCCACTCCCTTCTTGTAGATGAGAGTCACATTTGCTCACTTCCAGTCAATGGAGACCTCCCTGGTTAGTCAGGACAGCTGAGAAATGACTTGAAGGTGGCTTGGTGAGCCCTTCTGACAATTCTTGTACTCTTGGTTGGATCCCATTGGCCCCATCTATTTGTGTGTGTCTAAGTGTTGCAGCAGGTCACTGACCATTTCCCCCTGGATTATGGGGGCTTCATTCTGCTCCCTATCTTCCAACTTGGTGGAGCTGGGTAGCCAAAGAACAACTGGTGTTACTGTTAAAGACTCAGGCAAAAAGACATTAAGCGACTCAGCCTTTTCCTCATCCTTTGTCACTACGTTCCCCCAACATTCAGTAAAGGATGGAGATTCTCCTTAGCCCTCCTTTTCTGGCTAATTTATAAAACATTTTGGATTGTCTTTTACAGCAGTAGCCAGTTTAAGTTCTAGTTGGGCTTTGGTCCTTCTAATTTCTCCCTGTGTAACCTCACGACATCCTTGTAGTCCTGAATTGCCTGCCCCTTCTTCCAAAGGCCATAAACTCTTCATTTTCTCCAAGTTCCAGTCAAAGCTCTCTGTTCAGCCAGGCCAGTCTTCTAATGTGCTGGCTCATATTTTGGCAAATGGTGATGTCCTGCTCCTTCACCTCTAAGATTTCCTTCTTGAAGAATGCCCAGCCTTCCTGGACTCATTTGCCCTTCCAGGACGGCCTTCCAAGGGACTCTATCAACGAGAGATTAATTTAATAGATCTGTTGCTTCACTGTTGCCACACTGAAGGATCAGTTATTTCTGGCAGCAAAGGGCTTGCCTTAATTAGTTTGCCATTTTATCATTATTATTTGTGAAAGTGATATAAACTGATTATTATTTAGAATGCTAGATTTAAGCAGGATTGGAAATTTGGTCTTTTGAACTTGGGCAAAGATTTCTTGTTATTCCAGTTAGGCTTGGAAGCCAATAGTTGTCTTAAAGGCTAGTGCTATCAGTTGTCTAAATGGTGCTGTTCTGCTAGCTGTCTGTGCTAGCAGCAGCTCTGTGATCCTTTTGTTCCACACCTTTACCTTTCTGTGTGTCAAAATCTCACTGAGATAGGAAAACTTGTAACAGGTACGTTTTTGAGGTGGGAAGGAACGGAAGGTACATAAGAAAATGGGAACAGAGCAACCAAGCTAGTAAAGAAAGAACATGAACAAAAGCATTTTCTAAAAGGGGAGTAGGCAATGTAGCCTGTTTCCAGCTTGGTCACAGTCCTGTAGTGGGAATTCATTCACATGAGTTCATCTCTGCAGTTTGTGAAAGACAAAAAGAAACTGCACCAACCAGCATGAATTCATTCTCCCTTCTTGTGTTGGCAGTTTTTCATTCAGTGGAAACAGTAGTAGTTTTGCTAAAGCAAAGAATCCTTTCACTGTAATTA